ATCCAGGCAAAAACCACGATGCATGGTGGGACTTACCACAGCTTATCAAGCAAGCGGGCGATGCAACCGACATTTTTGAGTATTTACACCCCAATAAAGTCGGGATATTTATTTTTGATTGTTCGTCTGCTCACGAGGGCCTCGCTGCGGATGCTCTCAATGTTAACAACATGAATATTAACCCTGGTGGTAAACAGACTCGCCTTCGAGACACTGTTATTCCATTAACAAATCTGTCTCCGAAACCTGGCCAGCCAGACACACGAGGGATGCCGCAAATCATGGTATACCCAACAAATCACCCCGACCAAGATTTTGCGGGCAAACCGAAGGGGATGCGCGCTGTATTGCAAGAACGCCAATCAGTATGGGACGAACTGATGACGAGACGGTGCGGGAAGGTCGTTGGAAAGTGCCAGTGTTGTCAAAAGTCGCAGGTAAAAAAAGACGCAGAAAGACGAGTGGCTGCAGCAGAAGCTATGGGTCAAGAGGAGCTATTGAACGACATTGATTTGAGTCAGGCGGACGAGATCGTGGCTGCACCAGTCGATGAGTGGTGCTGTATGTACCGCGTTCTTTCGTTACAGGACGATTTCGCAAGCGAGAAGCCGATGATTCAACACTTTCTGGAGCAGCGAGGGCACATTTGCCTCTTTCTGCCTAAATTTCATTGTGAGCTGAATCCGATTGAGATGGTGTGGGGTTTTGCCAAATATCGTGAGTTTCTCATTGTTCTCTGTTAATTCCTATCTCATTTTTTGTCACCAGGTTATCGGAATACTTCAGATGGCAAATTTACAACAGCGAAAACACTTGTCCCACAATGTCTCGACATGTGCGATACATTGACAATTCGGAGATTTTTCCACAAGTCATGGCGCTACATGGATGCATATCAGTATGTTACATTTCTTCATTATTTACATTTCTCGCCCAGTGCGCCGATTTCACAGGAAAGGACTTGATGCTCGCCAAGCCGCATTTGCAGTGAAGCGATATAAATCCCACCGCCGTGTGGGTCTCCCCGCCGCAATCGTTCGCGAGATGGAGGCTCAAATATCACTATCCACTCATATCTGAGGTGTTTGAATGCTCCCCTGTGCAAAAAACAGTGTTTTTTGGTATATGTTTCAAATTTTTGACGAAAATTTTCAAACTTGAATATATTAACATTCTGATCAGCAAGTAATATTCTACATACATATAGTATTCATTTCCGCTAGTCTACAGAATAAATCTTCGTGAATTGAGTGTGTAGTTACATTTCGTGCATTCTCAGATTTTCGGAGGTTGAAAACCTGTTTCGTACACTGTAACAGAAAGTACGAGTTGAGTGATGGGGAATGGGATGTTGTGCAGCAACTGCACGACGTGTTAAAGGTGAGTCCGATGAGGTGATAGTATTACCCCATTGGTTCAAAACGTAAGATACAATTCAATGCTTACCTGTGTACATTTGTTCTAGATTCTCAAGGAAGCAATGATGTACTTTTCCTGGTCAACACCAAACCTCGCAACAGTGATCCCTGCGATGGATTTCATCAACACTCAGCTCACAATGCAATCCCTCGACAAGAAGTACGCACCATCAATGTAAAGGGGTTACCCATATGGGGTAATTCCCTATTATGGACAGTCTATAAAAAGACTGAATTCTATATTACATAAGTACTTTTACTTCTAGATTTACCATAGCCAAAGAATACAACAAGGGTCGTATTCAGTGGTAGTGTGAATTAAGTCTAAGTCCCAGAAACATTACAATCAATATGTGCCGCCGTTGGACTCGCCAAAAAAACTCTGGATCGTTATTACTCACTGACAGATAGCTCAGAAGTCTACAGAATCGCCATGAGTGAGTCCATATTATTATTTAATTATAGCTTGCACTCACATTTAGCACTAGTACTTCACCCTCGCCACAAACTGACATACTTCAAGACTGCGCACTGGGAAGACGAATGGATTGTGACTGCCGAAGAACTTGTGAGGGAGGAATTCGAGCGTTCATACGCCTCTATGGAGACAGCGTCTGACGTTGAGATCATTGAAAGTGGGGGAGCAAGTGCTCAACAAACCAAGGTACATGGTACAAGTTTCACTCATCACATTCAATAATGCTCACCCAATGTTATCTTGCAGAGCGACAGTATATTCGACAACCTCGCTGCACTTGCACCACCCAAACCAACCGACAAGCACTCAGAGTTGGACCGTTACCTTAACACAGACGTCGAGCATGTCACTGACGCAATCACGTGGTGGTACGAACACCGCACCTCATATCCACGCCTGTCCCAAATGGCGCTCAATTATCTCTCTATCCCTGGTGAGTCATAAATTCATCAAATATCATTGTTAATCGTTAAATATATGATCACTAGCTACTTCTGTCGACGTAGAATGCCTGTTTAGTCGCGGCCACCTCCTTCTCTCGCACGTCCGTTCTCGCCTATCCGCACAATCTACATGCACGCTTCTATGCCTTGGAATCTGGAGCACAATGGACCTTGTCAAGACCGAGGATGTTGTCAAAGTTAGTGAGCTGCCGGATGTTGAGGGTGATGATGAGCTGGAGGATGGCTGGGATTCCTTGATGTTAGATTAGAACATCATGTACATTTCTTCACGATGCAATTGATTTTTTGATGCACACCCTCGGGTATACCCATGACGGGTACTGCTACGGGTACAATACCCACGTACCTGTGATCTAACCCGTACCCTTGACGAGGGTACGGGTCTTTCTTTGGGTACGGGTGCGGGTATGTACTGTGACACCCGGGGGTTTACCCGTGCCATTGCCTAACCTTCACCTATATATGTCGGAGATTTCGGAAAACCATTGCAATGACTGATTGTTGAGATATCATTGCAACGACTATTGGGCCGGGATTGCAACCGTATTGCAATGGACTAACCTGGATAAACTGTTGAAATGTCATTGCAACGGCTATTGAATTGAGATTAGATCATAACTACGTTGTCGCGTGAATTATTGATCTCAATCTCACTGCGATTGAATTACACATATACATAAGTAATATACAGGTAACATCACACTAGTTAACACATTCCACTCTATAATAATAATGTTTACCTACTTGACACTTGGTGAATTTTTGTGAAGTGTTTTGCTTACAGCTGTTTCCAAAACTCTGCACGAAATACTAGGTTTCTCGCACATGGGTTTAGCTCTTGCTTTCGGGCTCCCACTATCCACCACACCAAACTCGTTACTGTAACATAGCGCTGCAGGATTGTTGAAGGTATGTTTTTTTAAAACATTGCTCCACTATACTCTACTAATCATATCTAATATTGTGCAGAGCCATAGAGCATGAGTATAGGATGCAATCTTAATGGTGAGTTTCCCTCAATTCACAGTGCTTGCTTTGAGCCTTACAGGATTCCTTTTTTCTCGCAGCTTTTGTGGCCCATTTGCTCAAAAGTGTATCCAGTACGAATTGGATTTCTTAGCATATGCATCATACTAGACAGCCTTAGACAATATGTAGTAGCTATAGATGTGTATCTATGTCTATGATTTTTCTTGAATATCAGTCTTTCTAAACAAACAAGTCCGAATGGGTGCGTTACAATAATAATAATAATAATAATAATAATAATAA